CGCTTGCCTTTCAAGCATGTAGGAGAAACTAAGGTGGCCACAGAACTCAATGATGTGTAACGACTTTGGAACTCACTGAGAATGATGTGATATATGTGTCATTCTGGAGGGAATTTACAAATGACTTGTTTTGTCTTTTAATTTGGAGGACTAGACTAATTTTTTGTCCAGTTATAGAACCCAGCTAGGTGTGCAACATTATGAAATCTTGCTGGAGTTCAAACCCATTTTAACTCTGCTGACATCCTTAATTGCCCAAGACAAGCTCAATAGGGTTAGGTGGGGATTACTCTCTTGCTCCAAACCAAAACAGTTCCACAATAGTTCTATTTTAAATGAATTCAATTAAATGAATATTTACTTAATTAAAAAAAGTTTTCAATATTTCAATATTACTGCACAGTAAGTGGAAAGTTTTGTTCTGCTGGACAGGTTAGGATATCACCAAAATGATTAGGATTCCACCTCTAGAGAGCAGGAAAATCCACAGCAAATTTAATGCAAGTTTGTCCAGTAGAACTTAAGAGATTTTGCCCAGACCTAAGTGTTTAATGGACCGATATCACCATTACTGGCTATGGCAGAAGGCAAAAAACTACTTAAAATAATGTCCCTCAGCTGATGTCTTTTAGACTCAGTGGGTGATGATTATCTATTTAACTGTAAGGCAGAGGTATTATGAGCTGCAGTAAAGGTGTTTGTTTTTCTGTGTTTTTCTGTAAAGATGCGGTCAGTGTTTGTGTGTCCAGAGCCAGTGGATCACTGTAGGGACTCAGTGGGCTCAGTCCGTCTGCTCACTCTGAATGTCAATGTATTCCAGTGGGCCCCGGGGAGCCGGCAGGGGTAATGCCGTTCACGCTTAATTGGGTGACAAATCCAACAAACATGATTGTAAACATCCTGAAAGGAATACCTTGACATTTTGATTTCAGTCTGCGGTTGGGTTTCATTGTGGCAGACAGTTGTTGTGTGGTTGCGTGGGGGAGTGGCGTTTTTCCATTACACCTCACTGAACCAAAACATGATTTCTGTGCATTGTTAAAGCCCCTTATTAAATGTAAGTATTGTTCGGGGAGGGAAAGAAAATAAAAAAAACGAAAAAAAAAAAAAACTGTCATGAACCTGGCCTCATTTAGTGTATCCCAGTTTTTTAACTTTCAAAAAATCCTCCAGAGAAAACTGTCAACTTTCTCAGTTCAGGTGAATGTTTTACATGCGAGTGAAAAGGAAGCAACAGTAGTTTCACAAGAAAAAACAGGTCCACTAAATGGAGCATAGCGTTTGTTCAGGCAGAGCACTGAAGTCGTTCTACTGCACAACCCTCACTGCTGCCTAGATTCTTGAGAACTTTCATCAAAGGACAGAACAATTTCCTCTAAATCTAACCATTTAACTGGTTGAGATTAATGGTAATATCCTTAATGTGTCTGATTCAGCTTTGTTCAGTTGTCATGAAAATTGGAAAGTTTTTCAAATCAACGGAAGTCATCTGAAGAATCCCACTCAGGACAACATCAACATCTTAGGATCTCTCCTGGTACTGCCAGTGAAATGACAAGCACCTTGAGGACAAAGGACTGTTTGAGGGTTAAGAGTTGGGATGTCTTATTCCAATGGAGTCCTCACAAGGACAGAACTAGAAACACAAGTATGCGTGTCTGAGAGACCTACCTGCTTCATATGTTGTGGCGTGCGCCGTCATGCTCCAGGTGCTGGACTTGCGACCTTTGGTTACCATGACAGCAAACTCGTACATTGTGTTTGGTTTGAGGCCGGTGACAGTGTGGCTGAGTGCTGTGGTGTCTGCAGACTGGACACACAACAAAGTTGTAGAATTTAGTTTTTGGAGTAAAAATGAAGGAAAAGGTGAAGTTGTTTGTCAATACAAAAAACTAAAGCTGATGTTACAATAGCTTATATATCACAAATACAATATAGATTTTTCTTGTCTTTAAAGAATATACATTCTAGACATAATGAGATGAGTAATGCCTCAGAGTTTCATGAAACATTCTGTCCTTGTGTTTGTACTTAAACAATTATTTTCAGCTAAGACTTCGACATCACTAAAAATGAACAAACCCTAGCAGTTGCACAAACTCATTTACATTGTAACTTTAAGACCAGACTTCTGTTTTTCCTTGTGGCACAAAGGAAATGTCTCATTTTAGGAATCAGATGGAGCAAAAAAGAGGAAAAGACTTCTCTCTCTGTCTCCCCCCAACTGTGCTTTATTAAGGTGAGGAGAATGTCTGCCCTTGTATAGATTTACTATTTCCAGTGTTTTTGAAGCAGAGCTAAGATTATTGTGCTGGTTTTTCTAAAGTTCAATGTTTTATTAGAAGAAAAGAAGTCTCAGCAGGTGAGCGGAGAAAAAAAAAGTCAAGAATTGTATATTTTTTCTGAACAATCAAAATGATTCCATGTTATGTTTCACTACATGATTTTATGCTGTTTCTGTCAGATGAGAACCATTTATTTAGACAGATTAGATTTGTGATCAATAAAAGCTTCTGAAAAACAAAAGAGTGCAGTTTTCTTCAGTGTGTTTGATGCTCTGATTGCTGTAACTCTGGTTTGAAAAACTCCTTGATCATCCATGATTATAGTTTACAGTGGTTGTGCTCTGTGTAGTCACTGCCATTCTAAGTGATGTTTAATCCCAGAGGATTATCTAACAACAGTAGTTAGTTGAGTTGCTGTGGTAACACCTCTTGTTCATAAAGAATATTAATAATAAACATGTATGCAATAACGTATACATTTCAATACAAATAAACTATAATTTCATCCTCTAACAGAAGAGCTGTTACAGCTTGTAAGTGTTGGGCTTGAAAGAGAGCGGAGGAAGGACAGAGTAATTGTTTTGAAAGTTATAAGTATGTCTCGAGTCTTTTGAAGTTCCAAGTCAAGTCCAATGCCAAGACAGAAAAGTCCCAGGTCAAGTCCCAAGTCATCAAAGTTGAGTTCCAAGTCAAGTACAAAGTCAAGGCAGGTAACTTTCAAGACAAGTCCAAATCTTAAACTTTGTAGACAGGCAATCCCTAAGAACCAAGTCAACACAGATAATATCCAAGTCGAGACAGATGAGTCCCAAGTCCAATCCAAACCTTAAACTACTTAAAATCCTAATTAAGTGCTTTGAAAGGTAAGTCTGAAATCACGTCCCAAGTTTAGCGTGTAAGTCCCAAGTCAAGTTTCAAGTCATGACAGGTAAGTCTTAAATTTAGTGTCCCAAGTCAAGACTGGTATGTCCTAAGTTGATCCCCAAGTTATACAGGTAATGCCTAGGTCAAGTACCAAGTAAGAGCGGATAAATCCCTAATCTAGGGATGCACAATAATTATTGGGACGGATACATTATCGTCCAGAAATGGGAAATTTATATTATGAATTATCGGGATAAAATACGATTGATAGGCTTTAAGTTCTATGAAGCCAAAGTATGTTGTGTCAGTTAGATTGGGTTAGATCAGAGCTATGGAATATTAAAATCACCCATCTTTCGGTCATTACATCTCAGCCTTTCTTACCCTCAGGTGTGTAAAAGCAACAGATTAACTTCTTTTTAAAATAAAAAACCCAAATCAAATCTCAGTTTAAGAGAGGTACGTCCCATGTCAAGGCAGGTAGGTCGCAAGTCAAGACCGAGTTAAGACATGTAATTCCCAAGTCAAGCACCAAGTCAAGACAGGTAAGTCCCCAGGTTGAGCCTCAAGTCAAGACAGGTAATGCCCAAGTCAGGCACCAAGTCAAGGCATCTCAAGTTATGTCTTACAAAAAACATACTTCTTAAGCTTTGGACTTGGTGAGACATAACAAGCCACAGTGACTTTACAAGCCATTGGTTTTACAGTCAAAGGCAAGTGTTTTTCTTTTTGTCAAATCTAAAATAGTCAGATCCATAACTGGAGTGTGTCCAAGTCATGTCCACACCTCTGACAAAAATAATACTAAACTAAGAGGTGATGTACAACAACTCAACATTAACGCCATGGACTGACTGTGTTTACCTTGTACTTTCCACTTGTGGAGTAGCTGGTCTTCCACTTGACAGAGTAGTACCGGACCTCAGATGCCTTCTGGTTCTTGGTCATGGAGTTGTCGGCCCAGGAAACACGGACCGAGTCCGACGACAGAGCCACAGCTTGGACTCCTACCGGGGGGATCATGGGTGTGCTGGTGTCTGGCATGGGAGTGGGGTATTTATCAAAGAGGTGGAAGAGGTCATCCTCAGATGGGTCTATGGGGTCTGAGGGGGGTCGTTAACAGTACCCGGGGTGTTTGGGGATAATAAATGAAACCATACAGGATAATGTATGTGTGATAATGAAGATTTATATATGGAGAGTGGTACAAGCATATATTCAGATTACATGTTTATAGAGGGGTTAAAAAACAAAAAATAAAAATAAATAAATACATAAGATGACATGCAAGTTTGGAAATGACATGCAGCAGGCAGCCATGTTTGTTTGAGAGGGAAGAAGGGAAGGAGGAGTGGATGGATGAGGAAGTGAAAAACAGGAGAGAAAAGAGGAGAGAAAAAGACAAAGAGTAAGAAGACAGCTCTAAACAGAATCGGCGCCTCAGATCCACAGAGGGGTAGGGCTTTAACACAGCCGACAGCTTTGGCAGCCCAAAACGTCGGTATTTGAGGACCTGGGAGCATGAATGTCACCTGAACCAACGCCTGTTAGAGGCTGTGACATCAGCTCCAGGACCTCTGTATTTTTTTGACTGCCTGTGCTTGTTACCACGTTTGTTCAAGCTACTGTTGTCACTGCATTCTGAAATCTCTGCTTTGGGGAGTAGAGTGTTATGCTAACTTATATACTTTGTGGTTAGAGCTAGCAAAAAAAAAAGTTGTAATAAAGTGGTGTTTTCCTTTAATTGAACCAAATAAATAGTCATTAAGAAAAACCCCAAACATGTGAAGTCAAATATCTGAAAAACAACACATGTAAATGTAAATTTATCACATGTGAAAACAACAATAACATGTTTTATATTTCAGATTTTAAATATTTATCAAATGTGCTATGGTGTGTCACATGTTTCAAACTCACATGAGCTTTTCAGGGCTTGTAGTATTTTTCTCTTTATTCAAAAGGCTTTACCAAAGGTTATCAGCAAAATTGGAGGTACAAGCTTTTTATCTTCTTCTTCTGTATATATTCGAACAAATGAAATCCATCTGTGTGGATCTGTGTCTCCAGCCGATCAGAGAGCAGTTGCTGCCTTCAAGTACTTTCAGAACTACTGTAGATGTAAAAAAAATAAAATACAAAAACATCTTTGTTTGTGTGAATCAAATTAGCAAGTACTTGAGCATGCTGTTGAACTGCTCTACTGTGAAAAAAAAATAATAAAAAAGTATAAAGATTTAAAATTAAATCTTTATACTTTTTGAAGGCAGCAGAACATTAAACAGATGCTAACAGATGCTAACAGACACGCACGACCGCTGGGACACTGCCCCAGCAGAGATAAACCACAGTGAACCCTGAGGAATAGACCACTATGAAAGGTCGCTCCTGCCTGATTCCAGCTCTGAGGCCTCCACCTCGAACTACCGCCTTCAACCCTCTACTGGACAGCCACGAAACACCAGTGCAACGTGCACACAACACCTACGTCTCTAAAATACAACCACAACCACTCAGCTCCTTTCGACATGTATCTACCCCCCACGCTGTTTTTCCTGGTTCACTGAAACCAGTCAGTGTCCATTCCCATTCCTCCTAAAGTCCATCCCTATTCTTCTAGTCTTTGATGCAGTTTACTGAAGCAGGCCTTTAATACAGCACTACAGGGCAGATACGCCAGAACCTGACTGTGAGGTTCTGTTACTGATAGCTGATGTAGGGCAAAATACTACCTAACCCGAGATTACCGACTGTTGAATAAAGGCTTAAATAACCATAAATAAAAAAAAAAACTAAACAGACTCGCCCACACCCCACCTACATACAACAACACAAACAACACAACTAAGACACTCTACGACCACACCGTCAACGTGACACA